ACTGTAACACATGATAAAGTCAAGCACATCCAATGCCTGTGAATAGTTAAGTTACTGTTTCTCCTTTGTGCAGTAGCCCATAAGTATATTTTAAAGCACTTACAGTCCTTTATCAAGCACATGTATTGGCATATTTTTGTAACTGGATTACTGAGCATACTCTAACAATTCTTAAGCAGCTCTTGCAGACTATCATGTAAATCCTTCCTAATTCACGGTTTATTGACCACATCATTCTGGATGCGCATCTGATGTCAATTCCCTCCAGTGGGCAGTGTGCCACCTTCTACCACGTCGCCATCGAAGTTCCCAAAATTCCTCTTGACAAACCAGTCTGTGTCACCAATTCTATGGGAAAACCAAGACGGAGAGGTTGCACCGTTTGCAGTGGGTTAATAAGTGGAATAGCCCGCAGCCAAGCAGATGGAAGCCCCTTAGTCCTGCTGGCACCCCTCAAGCTCGTGGGAAAAGCCTCAGCCTTGTGTGGGATGAGGGAGAGGGAGAGCCCCATCCCACGAGCAGGAGGGTCAGGTCCTGGGGAGACGGGAGGTGACACCCAACACTTGGGGACATTTGTGGTTGCAACCAGCCCAATGGCACCTATGCCCGCAAACCTCCTGGGTGTCCCAAATCAGCACATAGCAACACCCAGGCACCATTTCTTTGGCGCAATCTGCAGTCAGTGTGTGTGGAAGGGGCTTATTTTGCTCATTTTATGGGCTGATTTATGGCTTGTTTACTTGGTTACCTCACCCACTTTGCTAATGTTGTAATTAAGCCTTGTTAAAGTGTTCAGGCCCCCTCAGGCATGTGGTACAACATTTTTTTTCTTCCTGAACGATGATTATTATATGGGAGAAAAAAACTGCATGGCGAGGAAGGGTGTTGGGCAGGCTTGGTTGTAATAAATACCTATTTAGCAGGCAGAGGATGTTTAGTCCTAAATCAAATAGTGTATTAAAAGTGGAAATTGCTGAGATTGGCATTTACCTGTGAAAACAAAATGACTTCGTGAAGAAAATAATTATAGACAAAGTTGCGACCTTTTTATTAAACATTTAAAATCAAGATGCTGCTGTGAAGCGCAGCATCACCACATCACGCGTGGGGCAGCTTGGAGGGATCACTCTGGCAGAAGCACACCAGTGGGCTGTGTGTGTACATACCCCATAGAGCTCTACCCCACATTGCTTTGGTACATTTCAATACCTTCCAAGTTTAAGGTCTTCTAGGAGATAACAAACCCTGTGAAATAATACTAAATCAGGTGAAACAGGGCACAAGGGAGCAATCTTATTACCATAAAAGGCTGATGAGTTCAGGGAATTAGTGGGGAAGAAGTTAAAATTATATTAATAATAGTTGTTTATTACCTGTAACAAGGCACTAAATGCCCTAATAGGCGAGTACAGAGGCACAGTGCTCAGCCATGGCCGCTGCGCCTTTTTCACAGAAGCCCTTTGCCTTATTTTAAAGCAGCTTCAGTTCAACTTAACTCAGTGCTGGATTTGCTCAGGGACTTCTCTTCCAAGGCAGGCCCAGTTACTGCCAGGAGAGACTATAGATTTGTGTCTATATAGATACTTACACAGCTAGGTCTGTGTGCGTGCCGGTGGGCCAGGCGGGAGAGCCCAGGGATGCTCTGCGGGATCTGCTCTGCTGCACATGCAGCACAAGAGAGGAGGTGTTGGTGGCTGCGTGGCAGTGCTGACAGCCCAGCAGCAGCAGAAAGCCCCACAACACCATCCAAAGGCATATTCAAGGCTCTTGCAGGGCCAGGGAGCGGCTCGCTGTCACCTAAACCTGCTGTCCTCCTGTGGACACAGAGCCAGGAACAGGGTGGCCCTTTCCTGTAACGCTCCTCCAGCGCCGCATTACGAGACAGCTCTTCCAGGAACGGTCTCTTCGCATTTGAGCTTTATGGCTGAGGCATGTTGGATGCTCACCAACGACGGCTTGGATGTAGGCTTTTTTTCAGTCAGCCCTGTCCAAAAGCAGAGTCTTTCTTGAAATAGCAGGTGTTCCTCCTGGAAGAGTGCTTTAAAGCCAGATCTAGGAGAGTCAGTCAAAGGACAAAGACGCTGACGAGCCCCAGGGAAATGGTTTGGTCTGAAACCAGTGCACTGCGTGTTGATGCACCCATGCAGCCACAGACGGCAACGTTGGTGCAAACAGCAGTGCTCCCCAACATGCATGTGCTGGGCTATCAGTTATTCACCAGCAGCTTGACAGTGTCTTAAAAGTTACATTATTTGGGAGAGAATTGTTGAGGTGTTAACAACAGCAGCTCACCACAGTGCATGCAGCGTAAGCAGCTCCGATTTCATGAGCTGAAGAAAAATGAGTTTTTTAGTCTGGATTAGCCCTTTCCCCTCCCGAGGATGACAGAGCTGTGGTGAGGGACCCCTGGCAGCTTGAAGGCTTTGACTCTCACCTGGCACGACAGTTTGCCTCAGGAGCTGCACCACTTGTCCTGGATGGCTACTCAGTGACTGTCAGAGGTGGGAAAAAGAAAGCTGAATTTTTCTTGTGGAGCTGCATGAAAAAATTTCTTTATAGAGTTTTTCAGGCAATTAGCCAGCAGTACCAGATGGCACGTGGAATCGTTCCTAAAAATGAACTGGTCGTGGTGCTGCCCGACATAGAAGTTAATGGATATTAAAGCTATGCAGTTTTCAAGGAAATCCAGACAGAAGTGCAGGCAGTTTGCAACCTGCTTGGCACAACTATACATTGTGTGTGTGTGTTCGCTCATTAAGGAGAGCCATTAGCTTTGGCACCAATCTGCTAGAGTCAAACACTCAGCGGTGAGCTTTTGGATGCTTTAGAAGTGCCATTTATTGATGGGAGATCAGCATCTCACACTGCCTCAGTCATAAGGGAATTTCTTTAACATGTGTTACACAAGTGCCCCTCGTGTTTGGCCAATCTGGCCTGAAAACCTCTGAAGGAATTTGCACCTTTGCAAATTTTACCATTTCCTTTAGTAACATCGGCCATTCCCTCCGGGACCAAACTGCTGCTGTGATGGCTTTGAAATGCATCGCTGATGAACATCCTCTTGAGTACAGCAAGCCTATTGGGAAAACATAGACTATTGAAATGTAGCAGGCAGAAGAAAGACTTTTCACCCACTTGACCATAACGCTTGACCTGTTGCTGTTTTTTCACTATAAGGGACGCTGGGCCAAGGCTCCAGAATGGGGCTTCATGGTCTCTCAGGCATCTCCTTCAGAAAGTGAGGAAGGCAACTCTAGCCTCTCACTCGTCAAATCCCTCAGTGTACTTGTCTTAACCAAAAGTAAAGGCTAAATAAACACATCTAAACAACTAAAAAGCACGTCAACATCCAACTTCAAAATAAAATGCAGTGAAGTGCGAAATTATACCTCTTATTCCATAAATCTCCAGCAACTGGCACAGTTCTATAACTTGTATCACGCTTTAATACTGGCAGAATTTAACACACCATGCAAACCCTATAAAGTAATTACATTTCATCTCAACAAAGAAACAAAATCCCAGCTCACTCAACCTGCTCCTTCTGAGGAAGGATTATAGACAACTCAGTGCATGTCGATTTTTCCTGGTGATAAATCCAAAGCAGGTCACCAGTGAAATGGTAATGTGGGTCCCCAAGGCAGCTGATTTACAGGGAAAAATAGAGATGTTACTTGGTGTCCTTCAAGGCAGAGTCACACAGATTTCTGAAACTTCCTGAGGTTTATCCTCTATTTAAAAGAAGCTTAAAAATGTAAAACTTAACTTGAACAGATCATTTCAGCACTTGGCAATTGCCCTTGTGCAGGTTGATTATGTGCTTCACACCAGGTTCCCATTCAGCTTTTAAAGTGTTATTTCATTTCACAGTAAGTGAGGTCAGACAAGTGATGATGATGATAGAAAGCCAGCAGAAGACACTTGCAGGTCCACATCTTGCAACACTGGCCATCAAGCCCCAGAGGTTCAGGCACTCCAGACCCACAGGTCGGGTTGGAAATATCTGTCATCAGAGCATGTGTTGGCTGCCCTTCTGCCAAATCAAGGGTATGTCTGTACACAGCAAACCACAATTAATTAAACTAATTTATCTATTAGCTGCCCTCAAATAAAGCCTCCAAACTTTAATTAGACTATTGTGATTAAATGCAATTAAAACACTTAAAACTAGTCAACAAGGACTGCAAGCACTCTGATTTCCAAAGCCCAGCACAGTGCTGCAAACACACACAGGACCATGTAACTGAGGGTGACAGCAGAAGAGGCTTTTTCCCCCCTAGGCACAAAGCAACACAGCATCAAAGACTTCTACCATGCCTGACTCTGCCTCTGCAGCAGGACAAGACCTTGGGAAGGGGACAGGATGCAGTGGCCAGAGGGATGGGGATGAGAGGCTTAAAAGGGGAGAGAACCACAATTGCCTGCTATGGTCTGTGTTGGTGCATCAGCTCAAAACACGATCACACCCCTCAGCAGCGTGGGCAGCAATGGGGCTCGGTGATGGGACAGACACAAGGGAAACTTGCAAGTACACAGGTTTTTTTCCCATACTCATTTCAAACCACTGGGCATCAGTTTGCTTCTCCTATCGTGTTTATTATTTGCATCTCTGGCCCAGCCTTGCTTCTGACCCAGACTCCATGACAAACGTTGCGAAACGTTGCGAAAGATGGGAAACATGGTGGGGAAAAGCCATTACAGCTTCCCAGCATCTCGTGCTGTTGTATAAAATTCAAGGCAGGCAGGGCAGAAATAACTTGCACAAGTATTTCCATGCTTTTTCAGCTGATATGACTCGCGAACGTAGCTCAGTTCCCAGGTCACTCCAAGAAACCAAAGACTTGAAATGGTGCACGCAATTGTATTGCCATAGTTGAGCCTTGTGCATGGAGAGGCAGGAGGGCAACTGTCACAACTGCCAAGACAGAGAGCACAACACTGGGCCGTAGCAGCAGAGAGGATTCAATTACACTAAGCATCGCCTGAATAGTGTGGGCTTGATGGAGGACACAAAATTTGATGGGAAATTTTTGTATCAAAAAGTTCACAACCTTTCTAGGAGACTACGAGCAGTGGAAGACCAAAATGAGGCAAAAAAACCTGCAAGGTGAGCACTAGTCAAGTTGCACAGGGTGAAGAATTTGATGATATTATGATCAATTCTGATGAAATAGGAAGACAAAACTAGAAAGGGCTCTGAAAGGCCAGGAAATGTTATTGGGGTGGGTAGCAGCAAGGAGGTGAGCAGCAAGCAAGAAAAAAATCAGGTTTCTATATATAAACCCAAGCCAGGTCCCTTGTTCCAGCTCTGGTAATTTCTTTTGCCCTTTAGACTTTTCAAAAAGCTGACACTATGCTATAACTTTAACAACCCCAAATCATTCCTCCTAATGGCACCTGTATTCAGATTTATATTCTGTAGTGAGTTGGAGTAAAAGGAGAGTTGCAATAGGCACCCCGCGGCACACTGGCCACCACAGTTCGCTGTGTGTACGGCACCAAGAAAAACCCAGCAGGCACGGCAGAGTTCCCTGAGTTATTTCTTGTTCTCTGCCTAGCAATAAAGACACAGTTACACGGGGTGGTAACTCGTAGCAGATGGTGACTTTTTAAAGTTGATTGCTATATAAATGATACTTTCTGAGTTTGTTCCTTTTAATTCAGAATCTCAGTAGTGTGTTCAAATGTCAGAGAGCATCATATTTCTATCCTTTATTTCCTTTGTGAGCAGAAACCTTCTTTAAGAAGTCTAGGAATTACAGTTTGTGAGAGAAGACAGGCTCTCTTGATAAAAGTGATCTACTTTACAAATGTTACAGAATACAATAAAAACAGTAGATGCAAAAAGCCCCACTGGTTTTGCTCTCAGTGGAGAGTTTTAATTTCTATTGCACTTTTTAAAGAGACATTTTGTCTGCACTGTAATGGTTTACTAGATCAGTGAGGTCCATTACCAGCACAAAGGTAGGATTTCCTCTGCTGCAAGCACAGGGAGGCTGGGGGAGTGGGGGTGGAAGATATCTAATTAATCAGCTACTACTGCAGGCAAACAAAAATAACAGGAAAGCTGAATAAGTACCTTATGTATCCCCTAGCTGCCTTGCAGTCCCCGTCCGGGGTGGCTGTGTGCCAGACCCCCACGGCATGCAGGGTTTTGGGGGCTGCCCATGACCCAGTCTGGCAGCCACAGGCTTTAAGGCTGCACTTCAGCATAAACCAGGTTCAGAGAGACTACAATCAACGCAGTTTGGTTCTGGCTGCAAATCTTAAGCCCGTGCCACAGTTCCCAAAGGCAAAAGGGCTGTTATGCTGCTCCAAGCTACCTACCACCTGCGGCTGGTGGGTTTACCTGCTTACCCTCTCATCTTTACTCACATGAGGAAGGTGGCAATTCACCACGGTCCCAGAGAGCTGTACCTGGAAGCTGCAACTAGAAGGCTTTTCTCGTTTGCTCCAAGATGTGTGTACATGCTGTCTTCTTTAATAGTGTTGTAGCTGGAAATCGGATCCCCCACCTAGACTTTGTAGCAAGGGAGGGTGTTCAAACCAGCATGGGCTGCTTACAAAAAACTCATGAGGGTGAAGTACTCTCTCCCAAAGAGGAGTTCCTGGGAGGACAATGTGTTGGCTCTGAGGGCTTCACTCTACATCATCCACCAAATCCAAAAAGATACATCTGTCAATAACTGCAATATATTTTACTACAATTTGCTGGCACCACTGCCAGCACCAGGTGCCAGCAGCCCCCCGCGCAGCAAGACCTGGCCTGCACGAGCTTTTCCTGGGGGAGACATAAAGGAGCAAATGAACCCCCCAAAGCCCCCTCCGACAGCCAGTCAGCGTGCTGGGGCACTCCACATCACCTCAGCGAGGGATCCTGCAGGGCTGGGAGAGCAGCCAAGGGCCCAGCCAGTGTCCGACACCCCCGAACCATGTCCCCAACTGCAGGCTCACACGCCTGGTGTCACCGTGTTTCCCACTGCTGTTCCCTGCATGAGGCAGCCCATAATGCCTCACTCTGCCTAATTACAGCAAATAGCAAGCAGTTTTAGAGCATTCAGATGATGCATCCCCATAGTCCTGCTCTGTTGTCACTGATAAGCAAATCTGTCCAGCCCAGCGCGCAGGATTACCGTATGCTCCTTTGAGTACTGCTTTTCAATGACACAGACATACCAGAACTGGCCACAAATAAACTCATCCCACCGACCCAGCACTGAGGACCATCGCCTCCTGCTAACACATGAGTACTCTGGAAAAAGGAGGTGACTAATAGGTGAAGAACCTGTGTGATTTGTACTACTGTGGACCCTTTGCCACCACAGGACAGCCTCTGTGTCCCCAGCTTGGGGAAGCTATACCAAAATCAGTGCCATCGTGACAAACTCGGGGGATTCAAAGTGGTTTGGTCCAGCCACTAACCTGCCCTCTGCACTTCACCTCCTCTCAGATTCTGTGTCTTAACCCATGTATTTATTGCACCTCAATGGCAAAAAAAAAAAAAGGAAAGACATACCCTGGCCAGAGGGAAATGTCCCAATTAAATAGCAAACGATGCAGTAAAACAGCAGAGCATTCTGAGAGCAGTGGTAAAAGCAGCCACCTCTTGTCCTCAATTTGTGCTGCTCCCATCACCCCGGGCATTATATTTGTGCTGACAAGGATCAGTTTAACCCCTGCCTGCAGTCTAATAAAAAGCTGGCATGGTGGAAGCGTGCATAATCCTTCTTCAGTGTCCTAGGAATGGGTGCAATAAAAAACTTCTACTGCTGCTGCTCGGTGGCCGCAGCCACTGCCTGGAATAAATTACTCCCTGGCCAATGCTGGCAGCGGGAAGCGCTTCGGACCAGAGGCTTCTCGGACTCTCGTCTGTTTGCATCACTGCAGCCCAAGGTGGGCAAATCATGTCAAAATAGATAAAAATGCCAGAATTGCTGTGTGGGTCAGACCAAAGTGTCTGCAATAACTCAGGAGTCCATGGCCTGTGGCAGGGATCCAACAAGCCCATACTCTCCTCCTCCTTTCCCATAGCCACAGGACGCACAGCCTAACACCCCAGCACATCTAGAAGCACAGCTCATGGCCAGTGGTGGTCACTCACCATCCCTCAGTATTTACTAGGGGCAAACCAAAAGGCTCCACCTTCGGTAAACAACAGGATCGCTCCCCTCCCCTTGTCATTAATTGACCGAATCAGTGCTGCAGAGCTGGCATTATGCTCCACTACGCTTTGTAATGAAATCACTGCCTGTGCATGAGCAACAAATTTAATGATATGATACTAATAGGGTTAGAAATTTACCATGCAAATATTAATAATTTATATGTACATTCAGTTTTTCAATACTGCTTGTAGTCTGTAACAAGGAAATGCTGAGTTCTACCAGTCCCTCTCACAGATCTTGCCTGGGGAGGGCGCAGTCGTTACCAGGCTGGAGACAGAGGCCCCCAGCACAATTTCACTGAAGAGGCAAGTTAGCATTGGGACATCATGTCCTGGCCTGCAAGCATGTTTTGAAAAAGAGAGGATGCTTAAAACAGGAGCACTGCTTGCACAACATCAACAGGCAACAGGGGATAAACAGTGAGCTTTTGTCCTGCTCAGGCCCCTTCCCATGGGCATCTCTGCAGTGCCCAAAGAGACAACCGGGGCTGTTAATTGCCTCTGCAATGAACTTGGGTGAAATGAGGTGTGGTCCAGTGATTACAGATCACATTGGGCACCTATCTGCGTTTTGAGGCAGCTGGCAGCAAGAGCAGCGACCTTTGGGCTGCAAGGCCAGAAGGATTTGGAGACTGAGGAGCTGCATCTTGTTGCAGAAGCAGGGAGGGATTTGTGTTAAATGTCCTCTTTTTCAGCAGTAAAAAAGTATCTCAAAGGAAGGGCGGTGACTGGGGACCAGAGGGGTGGAAAGAGAAGATAATTCCCTTGGACAGGCATAATTGCTGCAATTCAGAAAGCTAAAAATGTGAAATTAGGAATAATCAATGGCTGTTTATGATCTGTGAATTCAGCTAATACGGAGTAATTACACTCTGCTAATTCCTGGTATTTGTCATCGTTGGGTTGCAGAGTCCTGCAAAACAATAAAAACAGATTGGCTGTGCTGGGCCCGCAGACTGGGGGCTTAGCACTGCACGAGATAATTTCTCTTTTAATGGTAAAAGCAGTTCTGATTTCCCTTATTTATTTCCCTCTACTAGTGGCAAAGCCAGCAGCCGCGGGCTGTGCTCCAGGGATGCGGGATGCGCTACCCAACAGCACCCCCAATAGCCGGCACCGCCACGCTGCCCGCTGAGACCCGCCGGCACAGCAAACCCCCTTGCCAACCACCCACCCTTCTCCTCTTGTGAAACTGCTTTTCCACCTTCATGTCCAATATTGTCCTATCATCCCTCCTATCAGACTTGGTCCTCACACGTTTTTTCTTCCAGCCCATTCACCACCAGGTAACCCCACCAGCCTTTCACTCAGCTGCTCACCCCGTGCTCAGTCACCCGGATGCCGGTGAAACCTGTGGGATGTGCCGTCAGTTTGCTGGCGTGATTTACTTTTCCCTCGATGAAATACTGCTGTTTATTAACCCATGCAAAAGTGGGAGAGGTGAGTATAGGAGCGGGATGGTTTATTGGTGGGTGAATAACCCCCCGCGGCAGCACAGCAGGGGATGTGTGGACTGCAGCTGCAACCCTCACCGTCATCCACCTCTCGCATGTGGCGTGCAGAAAATGCAGGTGGTGTTTAACACTAGGTACACAGAGAAGAAATGCTAGGTACACAGAGAAGTAAAAGACTGTTTCCTTTTAAAGGTGCTAGATTTAACATCTGCGGTACGTGGCTTGGCGCAGCATGAGCAATCTGAAACCATACAGCTGTGGCACTTTTCAGGTCAAAGTTTGCAAAGTGGCAGTGGCCAAAACTTTCCTAAGAACAACAGAATTTGTGATTAATTGCCCAGCAAGCACCTTGCAAAGCTGTCCCTGCAGGCACTGCAGAGCCCCGCAGAGGAGGGCTCTTCAGTGGGGAGCCTTCCCCTGGTGCTGAGCTCTTGTAGCAAACAGCTCCTCAGAGGGACAGTCCTGCAGCCACCGGCATTTTATGGCAGG